CTATGGTCACCAAATCTAATACAAATGTGGCATTTCATCCGTTGCCAATCAGCCTAGATTGCCGGAGGATAGAAACTGTTAGTCTGAAACATGTATGAAATAATTTCCATTCCAATTTGCAACGACCTCAGGTCATTTTTTGTAATTCCTAGGGAAGGTCTGCAGACTGCTTTGCTCAGTCTACAAGCGCCTTTCCAATCCAAACTTTAGAGATTGTCACTGAGGCTAAGTAAGCCTTTTTTCATTTTTTCTTTTTTTTCCCCCTAGAATGGTCTCCAAGTGTAAAATCTGTGCTTTCTAATGACCAAACTAGCCCCAGTCCTGACAATGTTTATGTATCTTCCCCATAAGATGGAAGCTGAGAACAGCCATTCGGGCATCCAGGTCTTCCAGGGCCAAGACAAGGCACCCAAAGAGAAAGGTTGACAGCGCAAGGGCCACGGCTGTCCCAGTGCTCCCTCTGTTGGAAAAATTCTGGCATGTCCTTTCTCCTTTCCTTGAAAAAAGGGAGACATGAATGGCCCTGCTTGAAAATAAACGTCCCAGGTGTTTTCCAGTCAAATCTCTGTGTACAAGAGCAGTGTGCGTCCCTCTGTGCTGGCACCGTCCTTCTGTCCATCCCACCTAACGCCTGGCTTTGCCCAGCTGAGGGGGGCTTGCCTTGGTTTCATTCCCTTTGGAGCAGCACGTTTTTAAAGAATCTGTAAATTAGTGTAATCTTTTGCAAATATTTTGCCTAGGAGGTTCTCCAGTGAAAGGAGTTAGAAGCTTTAGCCTCTGCCACCCCAGTGGGACGCTGGGTGTCATTTAGCAGCACAGCACGCGGAGTGTCTTGTGCCGCGGGGTCACGTTTGCTGACAGGAATGGTGGTGAAAGCCTTGTCCCCAAAATAAGGGATTTTCACCTGGTGAAACAGAGTCAGATATTTGTCTTTATTTCAGCGCTGCAGAAATAGGGTGCCAGGCATCTAGCACAGCCAGCACACCTGTCAGGAAACAGGTATTAAAGACGCAGGGTCTTTTATACAAAAGAAAAAAAGGTAATGAAGGAAAATCACATCAAAATAGCCCAGTGGTCAAGTGTAATTATATAACAAAAACTCATTTGCACATGTCTCAGCTTCTCTCTGGCTTGTTACACTGTGGTGGTCTGACGTTTACGTATAAAATCTCCTCCTAGAGGTGTGATTTTTTACTACTAAAATTATGTAAGGTAACTGGAGGTATAACTGAGGTACAACTGAGGTATAACTGGAGGTTATACCATCATCCTGCCAGCCACCGCTCCGTCACTGCCCAACTTTCCTTTCTGTCAGGGCCCCGCCTGGGGGACTACAAAAGAAAAAAAGGTAATGAAGGAAAATCACATCAAAATAGCCCAGTGGTCAAGTGTAATTATATAACAAAAACTCATTTGCACATGTCTCAGCTTCTCTCTGGCTTGTTACACTGTGGTGGTCTGACGTTTACGTATAAAATCTCCTCCTAGAGGTGTGATTTTTTACTACTAAAATTATGTAAGGTAACTGGAGGTATAACTGAGGTATAACTGGAGGTTATACCATCATCCTGCCAGCCACTGCTCCATCACTGCCCAACTTTCCCTTCTGTCAGGGCCCCGCCTGGGGGATAACCTCAAGATCGGGTTAGTTACAGTTGTGGGCATTTTGTTTGAAGGACTTTCTATTCCCGTTGCTATGGTTTCAGAGCAGGACATCACGGTCGCCCCGTTTTGTGGATTTTTAACTCTTTTCCACATCAAATGCTCTGCCGGGTGGCAGCCAGCCAGTTCCCCGCCTCCCGCCGCGCTGCGGCCGCGACATGGCGGCGTGCGCGGCCCTGCCCCGCCTGAGGGCCCCGGGACTACATCTCCCGGCAGCGCTCGGGGCAGGGCCCGCCGCCGGGGCCGCCCCGGGAGTGCGGAAGGGCCCGGAGAGGCCGCGTCCGGCGGGGGGCGGTGGTTGGGTGTCGGTGCGGTCCTCGCTGTGGGTGGTGAAGGTGTCGTCCTCTGCTCTCGTCGCGTGGGCAATGAGGGCAGCAGCGGGGCACGGGCTGAGGAGACGGGGGTGACGAGGCCACGGCCGCTGGGCTTCCTGCTGCGAGTGTGTGGCGGGGAGCCCTGCGCCATCAGTTTTTGATGGTTGTAAACAGAGTTACCCTGCCCTGGGTTAGTTGTGGCCACGGGCAGGCTAACTTGGCTCCCTGGCCTGGCTTATCCTACTCATTTTACTTGCCTCCTTTTTCTTACCACGCCGTACTACGTTTCAAGAGGTGGTTTAGTCACAACCTGTTCTGTTGGGAGTTTCCCCCCAGGTTTAGAGCTTTCACGAGCAGGGCCAGACCTGCAGCCAGCAAAAGGCTAGTTAGCGAGAGTGGACTAGGCTAGTTAGGCTAGTTAGTGAGAGCCAGGCTGACCTGGGAGCCGAGCAGGAGAGCCTGTTCCCATGTAGGTCCCTGCTGCCTCTCCTGGAGGGGCAGCCGAGTGGCTGAGGTGGCTGCACAGGCCCTGTGTTGGCTGGTGCCCTGGGTTCAGGTTGGAGCTTGCAGCCTGAGTTCCCTGATGATCTACCTTGCGAACCACGGGAGAGCTCACATGGGAGCCAGGCCTCTCAGGCACCCTCCACATCACTATCTGGTTCACGTCAACTCACCCCAGACACGTGCCACCACGTGAACTCCTTGTCAGCCATCCTGGGGCAAGAGAGATAGGTTCCCTTGGCTCTGCAAACTCAGACCATCAACCCTCACTTTAAAGATCAGCTGTATCAGAGAACACTTGTGCTCTGCTGAGAATTACTGGGGTGCTCTTATCTTAACACCTGCTTAACCTGTACATTGTGGCTTCTGATGAATCTCTATTATCTAGAGCCAGGAGATTACGCACTGGTTTCCTGGTCACCCTCTTCCGATGATAGCCCCATTGATAAGAAATCCCTGTTTGTGTTGAAGGCACACTCCCTGGGTTGTTTTTTTTTTTGTTTCTGCTACTTTGGTGGCAGGGCTGTGCAGACGTGGCAAAAGACACAGCTGCTATCTTGATGTTTGCTCTTGGGGTCATTATCCAGCAACTGAGTGCGTGCAGGAACCTGCATCATCTCAGTTGCAAAAACACCCAGATGGACCAAATGAAGAATCATTTGTCACTGCTTTGCCTCTGTGCTTGCCATGCTGTATTCATTTAGTCCCAGTGACTGTGATGGTTATCTGAGCAGAGCTGAAAACGGGGAACCCCAGCAAGCCCTTGGGGCAGAACCAGAGCAGATACTTCAAAGTAAAACCCCAGGCTTGAGCCTAGAGCTGGTGAGGGAAAGCCTCTTGTGCAAGGTGAGCGTCTCTGAAATCTCACTTCAGCTCCTGCAAAATGTGCTTCTCTTTAGGTGACTTCTTTATCTGCACTTTCTGCTTGTCATCACTTGAGGGCAGTTAAGCTCGTGTCAGGTCTTGCTCTAGCTAAGCGTGATTTGATCAAATTTTAGCTGTAAAATGATACAAAACTCAGTGCAAGCAAGGAAAAACTGAAGGCTTTGGGGCTGTCTGAGCCTAGACTGTGCCAGGGAAGCTGTAGTCTGTTAATCACCATCTTCCTAGGTGGAATAGGATGCTCCCCCTTTGCTTGAATACCGCCTACTTCAGCAGACCAGCTGGTGCATCCTAAGATCACAAGTGCTAACGTGAGACTGTCCTATGGTATTTCTTGACGCAGTCTGGCCTGTGCAGGACTCAAACTCCTGGCAAACAATGTTAGTCACGTGAAAAAAATGATTGTTCAGTGACCTTTGCTCAGCCCTCGGTATTTAATTGCAGCTGAATGCCAGAGTGATAACAGGAGGCTGAGTAAGTCCAGTCAGATTTAGTTTCTTGAGGACGATAGAAATTTCTTAATCCCTTGTCCCTAGCAGGAGTGACTCAGTGGCTTTGTATGGACACCTTGTTGGGTATATATGGGCAGACGAGAAATGATCATCAGAGCTCCCCAGGTGGAGGGATGCAAGGTCAAAGAGAGACAGCAAAGGCGTGTGTAGAGCAGTGAGCCTTCAAATCACAAGTGTGATTTGAACCAACATGAGTTGGTGAGAACCAACCTGAACAAAAGTGATGCTCAGTAGTGTCTATCTGCCCCATGACAGGCACCCAGCTGCCTCCCAGCCTGCCTCCCTACCGCCCTTTTGGCAGGGCTGGTAGTCCCCATGCTGTATTTCCTCCTCCTTAGAAGAGACTGGAGTTTTTCTCCTGAGATTTTTCTTTACCTGTATTAGCAGCTGTGAGCTTTGGGAGTAGAGGTGTGGGTGATGGATGCACACAGCTCCTGCTCCTGGCCTTAGTGATCAACACTGTGAAAAAGTTTAAGCGGTGCAGTGTCATCTCAACTGACACTGAAAGACTGAGCACTATTGCTGTGGCCTTGCAAAGCTCCAAGTAGGCTCATTAGCCAGGGTAATGGCATCGCTAATTGGACAAGGCGGGTGTGGTGCTGGCACAGCTATTTTGGTGGTATGTGCAGGGAGGAAACTTTCTTGATTGAAGTTAAAATACTTCTAGGTCCTCCCTAACATCCCGGGCTGAAGTTTCCTTTTGGCGGGACCAGATGCCACCTGATCCATAGAAATGATACAAGACACCCAAGCTGTCCTTGCTTTCGTTCTGATGGGTCCTGACTCCCTTACAGCCTCGGTTACTTGGTGATTCTGAACTCACCAAAGGGCTCAAGCAAATTGTGGTGAACCAGAAAGAGCAACAAACAGCACAAACCCCATTGATCTTTGGCTCAATCCATCGTAGCAACTGAGGGAGTCGTACCTTGGACTTCCCACCAGTTTGCTCTAGGAGACACTTTCCAGGGGCTGTGGGTTGTTGGTATGAAGGGGGATATACATTCCTCTGCCTGGACGAGGTGCCACAGCTCCTGCTTCTGTGTCTGATTAATTGGCAGACACGTGAGTCTCAGGGAGCAGCCGTTGAATAGACATCATGGAGGGTCGTGTAGCTAAAGTTAAAGCAGAATCAAAATATAAAGTGTTTGCCAGAGCAGATGTTTTGCTGCTGGTAGGGCTGTGCTGTGCACACCAGCAGTGGGCAGTCAAAGTCCACTCTAGTGTCCACCCAGTGTCCAACCTGCACCGAAGGTGGGAGGCTGGAGACGTGTCCCCAGCAGCCAGCAGAAAGAAGTAGTTTTGCCTTGTGATAGAGACTAGATTTTCCCTTGATCTTAGTGCTGCCCTGGAAACTAGCACCTGAGTAGAGTCTGCAGGCCAGAGAGAAGCTGGGAAGAAGGTTCAATGCAAGGAAGAAGGTAAATGAGCTTTAATTTATTTTCTGAGACAGATGACATCATTTCTTCCCTCCATGTCACAGTCTTGGGCTCTTGTATTTTTCATGCTTCATTACAAGTGTTTGTAATTATATGAGTGGCTTCAGAGCCAATTAAGCCTTCATTTGGAGGCTGCTCTGGATGCTGGAAGCCCTCCATTAGCCTGGGCTTCTGCCAGGGAAAAACACTACATTGTTTTTTAACAACTGCACCAGCTCCTATCTGCTTAATGTTGATTTTCCTATTAAGTTCTGCTAATACTTTTCTAATTGTGTGAGCTGGGCCTGAAGCCAGGCTGGGTGATTTTTGCCAGCTGCTTCCCAGGCTGAATCAGAGATGAGTGAAACCCTCACAAACACTTCACTGTGCACGTGTTCGGTCGCATCTCAACAGCGACCGTTCTCCCCAGAACTGACTCAGGTTCTTATTTGTGCCCCCTGTGTTGTTTCCCAAGGCAAGGCCCGCACAGTCAGAAGATGTGGATGTGAGGGAGCGTACTTTCCGGAGCACTAAGGGCCTGGCATTGCGTGCAGCTTACCCTGTGAGGTACCAGAAAGGATGCCATGGAAATCAGAGGCCAGCCCACATCTCTGCTCATGGATGAGCCATGGACTGTGGGTCCTTTGAAGCAGGTAATACAGTACCACCTGCCCAGGAGGGAATATTTACAAGCAGAAGGACTTGTTACATACATCCACAGGTCTGGGTGTTCACAGGACGTGGAAGGGAAGACACTGACACCATGGCAGGGTAGGAGATCTCAGCCACCGTATTGAGGCAGAGCGCTCAGGGGTGCCATTTTCTGCTGGGGATGTGTTACTTAGGAGAGGGTGGTATGACAAACCTGCTGGGTCAGTCACTTCTCACTGTGTTCGAGGCAGGGGTGTGATGTGGACCACATCTTCTCCTGCTGTCTAACTGGAGAGGTACCACCTGGCTACGGGCCAGGCATCTCTGTCCAGGCTCTGTCTGGAAGCCTTAAGGAAAGACCTGTCTAACTGGAGAGGTACCACCTGGCTACAGGCCAGGCATCTCTATCCAGGAGCTGGTTCTGGAAGCCTTAAGGAAAGATGGGATTTTTTTCTTTTGGGAGCAAGTGTAGGGACAACGTCTAAACAAAATGTGTGTCGTATCATACTGGCAGAAGAAAGGTTGCCCGTTCTCTGTGAGTCTTGCTGAGAAATAGAAGCCATTAATAGCAGATGACTGACAGCCATCAGTGGAGGAGACCCACAGTCCACACATTAGAAATGTGTCCGTCTCGAGCTTTTTCTTTCATCTTCTAGTTCAAAAATACATACATACATATCTTAAATGAAATTTAAGCAAATGTGTAGATTTATTGCTAAGTAGGGATGAAACTAAGCACATACGGTTTTATTTCTAATTGAATTGCATATTCTTTAATTAAAAATGATCAGGCAAATAACTTAATAGAAAAGCTTGTTTCATTTGAATTTGCTCTGAGTAATGGCTATACCTTTAAATTAAAAAATCGATAGGATGGAAATCACTTGTTTTGAATTTTTCATTTTAGAAATATTGCTATATTTTAATTTTAAAACTCTTGCAGCTCTAATATAAATAATACACACTGGTCAAGTTGTAATGCCTTATTACATCCTAACACTGACAAATGCAAGAGAGATTTACCGTGTCTCTCAGCAGCTTGTGTTTGGAGCTGATTTGCTTCTGAGAGCAACAGCCCCTTGTTTCAAGCCCCCCACAAACCTGGCTCTGGACATGGTTGCTGCCATTCACTTCACAGCGAGCCTGGGCCAGTGCTGCATGACAGAGGCCACCAGAACTCACTGATGGCCACAGGACCACCTGCAGTCATCGCACACATTTGGATTGTGTAGATGACCAGGTCTCATCCCACAGACCTTTTGGAGAATTTATTTTTCAAGGGTTTATTCCTCTACTAAGATGGGATTAAGCAAATGAGAAAGGGTGCTGAAAATGTGGGTGTTTAAGATAGAAAATAAGTTCTGGTGGCAAAAATCATCATAAAAAAAATCAGCATGAAAAAATAAAAATAAAATCTAAAAAATGGCCATGTAGCAGGTTCAATACCTAATTCATCTTGGAATTTCTGGCAGCAAAATGTACCTCCTGCCTAAGGTGTTTGGTCCACAGAGAGGAAAGTTTAGAGAGCTTGAAATTCATTGCGACAGAACACTACTGAACAGCCAAACAAGTCATTATTCTAGATGGTTTCCTGGTAGCATAAAAAAGCAAGAAGGAGCCAGGGCTATTTTAGAGCAAAGTTGAAAACACTAATTGACTTTTACTCACTGGGAAAGAAGACGTAGCATGACAAATGGCTTTGTGGTTTGAAGCATTAGAGAACGAGGAGAGAGTTGCTGGGTAATGGGACTCTACTGGGCAGAAATGGCTGTGTTAGGATTGCTGTGAGCAATTTGCGAGATGTGCTCGTAAAGCACAAGAGGAGTCAGCAGGACCCCAGCTGATGCTGTGTGCCCAGGCAGAAAGTGAGGCTGTAGAGTGGTGAGGCTGGAGAGGAGCAGAAACTGGGCAGCACCTAATGGTTGCCTTCCTCTCTGGGATGAGCAGTTCTGTGCCGCTTTTCCTGGGGAAGTCAAAGATGGCTCTGCCCATCTGAGGAGAAGGCTCCGAAGAGAGACGTGATGTCAGAGCCCTGAGGGCACTAACAGGACTTAGTTGCCCTGACCAGCCTCACCTGGGTCCCCACCCACACCCTCTACTCATGGACCAGGAGCTCTATTTAAACTCAGGCCTTGGGTCCTGAGCTATGTTGTAGGTAGGTCTATCTCCACCCCCTGCTGCTCCTGATAGGGCTCCCTAAATGCCCCTTGCCCTGATCCATCTTAGGGCTGCGGATGGACCATTAGCTGCTCCCTGTGCAGCCTGCCCTGCTCAGGTGCTGTGGGACAGTGCCCATCAGTGAGGGCACAGCTTATATTGGGGTCACCCTTAGCTCCTGGCTTGTTCCCTATGATGGAACTTCTCCACTTCTGCTGCTTTCTAACACGTGTTTTGCAGTGTGCCCTCCTGAGAAGGTGACTGGAAGTCTGATGAGCTGCAGAGGGGTCACCAGACAAGTCTTCTGTTTTGTCGCCTGTCTTCTGGAGGTGAGATGCCTTCTAGCTACTGCAGTCGAAGACATTTATTTGTTGAAAGAATAAGATATGAGTCCAGTGCTCCTCATTTTGCATCATATGCATCAGGGTTTGTTCCAGCTGCTGGAAGAAGTGAGTTCAGAAATAATCCAAGGGTCAGTTTTCTAACATTAGACTGGAATTGTCTTTATTTACTTTTACAAAGTTGGCCAAGGCTCAAGGCTCTCTAATGTTATGTATCCTTCAGTAAACACAATTAACTGAAAACTCAGAAACACTGATATCATCTTTTCCCTTGGGACTGGTCACTGTGAGCTGCTTTCTCCAGACAGAAAATCAACTTTTCCCCAGGGTTGCAGAGTAAGTGGAAGTCCATTTGGCTCAAAACAAAAAAAACAACCATGGAGGGAAAAGAAAGGAATGATGCAGCCTAGCTTGGCTTATTGCGGTGGTCAAAGGGTAGCAAAGCTTGGTAAGAGTGGGAAGGTCTGGATTGTGAAGGGCAGCTGCACTCCCCATGTTGAAGACAGGCTGTAGAGAAGCAGTGGGTCCCTGCTATTGAACAGCAGTTCTGTGTCTGTCTCTGAGGCAGCCAGGCGGGATCATTATGAGAAGGATATGCTGTGCACCCAACATTTAACCAAAAACCGTATGTGGGTATCAAAGCTGAATTTTAGACTCCTGTTTGACCACCTACTCAGTAAGCCCTGCTGAGGGAACACAGAAAGGCCATCTAGAGCCTCGCCGAGGTTCAAAGCCGAGGCAAATAAACTGCTTTTGTAGTAGGAGCTATTCTAAGTGGTATTATAAGCCCTTCCCGAGGTAGTCCAGCCTAGTACTTCATGATTTTACAGCTGGAAAAATCTTGTCTGCTGTCTAATCTAATCCTTACTTGCTGTAATTCAGGACAAACATTTCTTGTCCTTAACAAGCATGGACATGCTGAACAGTTTATCATCTTCCTCTCCGTAACTGCAGCCTTTTATGGATGTGACATTTAGGTACTTCGTGTATCGTTACCCTGTGTCTCTTTGGTCGGCTCACTTCTAGATTGAACAAACTCTTATTCTTCCATCTTTCCTTATAGGTCTGTGATCTGGACTCTCTCCAGTTGGTCTACAGCCTTCTTGAAGAGCAATACCCATCGTCCAACCTCTTAGTGAAAGTCTGAATAAGGCAGAGCATATTGATTATCCCACATATACAGTATAAGAGATTTGTAACAGAAACATTAAGGTTGAAGTGAAGTCTGAATTGGAATGTGTTTGTAAACAATGGGGGGAAAACAACAGCATGAGGATTAAAAGAATGACCTGTGTTGATAATGTAGAGCACTGCTCCCAGAACCGGGTTCCTAGGATGCCATTCTTGGTTGTAAAACTGAAGAATGTGTTTATAGCATGACCAAAAGGCCTGCGCTGCAGCAAGGTCACAGCACTGACAAGTTATCAGCAGAAGACCCCTTCATCCTGCCCAGAAAATGGCATTGAGGGGTCAGTAGTTCACATGCCATTGCTTTTCCTGAAAGGCCACCAGGAAAACAAACGTGCCCAGGCTAGGAGAAGCATGTAATTCTCAAATCTGAAAAGTTTAGCCCATGCTGTTGGTAGCAAGAAGAGCACTGTGTACAGCTTCAAGCTGGCATACCTGGCTTTCTGCACCTCCTACGTCTTGCCCTGCCCTCAGCAACCTTTCCCTTCCGTAACCAGGCTGCCCCAGCCTTTGCTGTTCTGCTGTCTGTGCTTCCAGCTCTTTTGTTCTTTGGTCTCTGTTGCTCCTCTCCTGCAGTCTGTCGTCTTTCTTGTTGGTCTTGCCAGCCTTTCATTCTGCTGCTGCATCCCAGCTGCCTCCATCTTTCTCCCTGGCTGTCACAAATTCACAGCTACCTGCTGTCCTGGGCTTTTTGGTTGCATAGTCCTAGTCCTGCTTTTCAGTGCATAGCGGTCCCAGGCTGGTGGCCTTTACCACCTGGAAAAAACTTTATCTGCTTAGCCATGTAGTTGATCGAAAGCTTCTGTGTTTCATCCATTCATCCTGCGCTGACCTTCAGCAGACTGTGTGGATTGCAGGCTCTGCTCTCCCTCCCCTCATTCCCTGTGCAGGATTGCTCACGTTGTTGCTCAGGATTGCTCAGGATTGCCCCATGCTGTTCCTTCTTACCAGCTCTGTACTTGCACTGCTTCTGAACCCTGTACGTGCTGGATTCAGCACTGCTCTTCCATGGCTGAGTATTTGGAAATTCTGGACTGATTAGGAAGAGGGAGGGTGTTTCCACCCAAGCCCCTTGGAGGTATGCTCTGATGTACGTGCAGCTAAACAAAGTATTTGCTTTACTGAATTGTAAACTCTGGGTAATTGGGGCAGGTAGTTCACGAGTGGAGATTGGTTGAGGTAGTCCTGTTTCTGCACCAGTAATGAAACAGGTTTCCTGAAAATACGTTAGCAGCTGCAGAGCACAGCATAGGGCTGGATAGAAATTGGATGGAGTCTTGACTGGGAATAACTTCCATGTCCCTACAGAATAACACCTGAGTGTGTACTGCAGGCCAGTTTGGGGTTCAGGGTCTGTCACTCTTTTGTTGTGATATCAAGCAGATACTGTTAGACTGAAGGATTTGCTGTAAGGCTCTGTTGATCTCAGGCTGGGGGAAAGATATTTCCCCCTCACTTTCTCATGAACAACTCCAGACAATAAATGAAAGGGAAATTGAAGAGAAAAAAAAAAAAAATAATCCTTCTGCTTTTAGAGCTGTCCCCATTCGCCTTCTAGCTTCTGCTGCGTATTACCTTGTGTGATTCATACAGAACAAAGACAAGCAGGATTTTAGAGCTAATTTCTTTAAAATTTGAGCCCACTTTGGTCTCTGCTGCTAACAGAGTACAACTTGTCTCCCCTACTGGAGTGATGAGTTTTGGACCAAGTGTGTATGTATTAGAGAATTTTAAAAGCAGTAAAACAGCACAGCGGGATTCAGCCTTTATTATCCAGGAGCCACAAGTAAAGGCAATCCACAGCTGGATGCAGGAATAGGGAGAAAAACAGAAGCAAAAAACATCTTCTGCCAACACCAGATTTCATGCAGTAGCTCTGTTAGGCTCGGCACTATCACGTTAATGTACCTTGGCTGGGAAAGTACATGATGTGAGTGTCATCTGCCTACAGTGCCTGTCCCTCCTAGTATGAGCATCATGATGTGAAGTCCTTTTGACAGGCCAGCCCTGGGGATGTGGCACCAGGCTGAAGATGCTAGACTGGAATACACTGGCCTTAGGGCGGTGAGTTCTTGAGCAGGAGCACTCTGAGCTTTCATGAGAAATACCTTGAGCCGTGCTTTCAGGGGTTATGGCACTACTTGAGCAGGTGATGCCCTTGGTCCCACTCCTTTCTCCATGGCTTTTTTTTACTTTTTGTGATTGGGACGGAGCAGGTGATGCCCTTGGTCCCACTCCTTTCTCCATGACTTTTTTTTGCTTTTTGGGACACAGCTGGCAAGACAGCTGGCCTCTGTGCCTCCTGGCTTGCTTCCTTCACATCTCATTGATCAGAAGCTGCTTCAAGAGTTGTTTATTAACCCTCAAAGAGAAAAATCCTGTTGGAACACAATTCTTCCTTGATATGGAAAGCGTCACAGTCCTCACTGGGAAGCTGCAACAGAACAGCTCTGCAGACCAATGGAAGCATGCCCAGGATGGTGCCTTTAGATTATTGTAGCACAGAGTCCCCCAGCATAACAAGGATATGAGCACCAGTGATTAGCAGAGAAACCAGGCTTCAGGGCTTGTTTTGATTCCTGCTTCAGCCTTCCAATCTAACACACTTAATGCGCATCAGGGAGCAGAGCAAGGAGACACTTTGTTCTCATATCTTGCAAAGTCAATCAGTTGCATAATATGAATCAGAGAGGCAGCAGGAACGTGATCGAGTGCAGAAAAGGGACACATCAAACGCTTTATTGTGGCTATGGGGAGAAGTGAGCCAGGCCTCTCTCCACCCAGCTTATCTTCCCCTAACTGCCTTTGAGCCTGTTTTGCATCAGCTGCCTGTCACTCTCAATAGAGCTCAGACGGGAAGGTAGCTTCCCTGGAGCCCTTGTCCATTAGAAAAGGAGAGGTAAGCATCCCCAAAAGCCTCCAGAACGATTTGGAGAGTTTAAATTAGCTACTTCCTCTGCATTAGCCTCGCAGCAGGGCAGGGATTGCTGAGGGGCTGTCCAGCTGCGTGCCAAGCCCAGCGCGGCTCCAGCCAGCGTGTGTGCGAGACAGGTGAGAGACAGCACCTGGGCAGGGTGTCACCCTGGCTCTTCGATTCAAATGGGCAGAACTCTAAGGGAGAAATGGCCTTTTTTCTTAAGATGTGCCTTAAACTTGGAGTTCCTGCAGCTTGTGAGAGCTGTCTAGGCAGCCACTCCGGTGTGGTGCAAGTTTCTTTCTCTGCCCCCTCCTACCCCACCATCCTTCTGAAGCTGGGCCACTGTGCAACCAGGAGTACCTGTCGCACCATGCGAAGGAGTGTGAGCACTGCAGGTATCACAGTAGCCTGAGATTGTGGCTGTTTCCCCTCCTGAGATTTTTGCTTTTCTTTCACCAACAAGTGCTTAAAATTTTACAAATCCATAGTGCTTATTCGAAGGTTGAGCTGTAGATGTAGTAGACCACGTCAGAAGGGACAGACCCTCCACTTGGGGAGAAATTACAGCACCCTAACTGAGAGTGAGCCTGAAAAAAACCATATGTATTTTTGGCAGTCTCTGGCAAGGAAGAAATGCCTCATGGAAGTTTGGTGCTGACTTAGAAAATGGCAGATGACCAGTCAGTTCTCTCTCGGTGTAAGGTTTGATGTGATGCCCTACCAGATGCTCTGTGCACCTGCTGGCAGCTAAGCCCCACATCTTTTGGTTGAAGGAAGCAGGGTTACAAGGTGGATAGCGGTGAGGTATGTTGAAGGGAGAGGGGGTAAAAAGAAATCACTCCAGCGTGAAGCCTTGTAGTCTTCTGCCACTGTCTTAGGCAATTTCCTGTCAATTTCCTTCTTTGCCTAACAAACAGCAAGAACATTTGCTGTTGAAAGCACATCTGAAAGCTGTGGGAGCCTATAATGACTGTGAGGAGTTTCTGGGCTTTCTTACTCCACTTTGTAAATTTTTCTCTCGTCCTTGTTATATTAGCACTATTTTTAGCTGCTCTTACTCAGAGAGAACATAAGTGATTCTCCATTATGAATCTCAAGCACGAGATAACAATAAAGACAGTTAGAGATGTTGCTGGGCAGAAGGGTCATGGTGGAGACCTGTGCCTGGCACAGCTCCCCTGGAGATCCTACCACGCTGTCCCAAAGCACCGAGGCACCGGTTTCAGCTCTCAGTGACTTCCCTGGCAGGGCAGCAAGGCCACTCAGTGCATACACGTGCTCCCTCCAGAGACAGCCACGTCTCCCTGGAGACCCTTGGCTGCTGGACAGTGTTCCCAAGGATTGTCTTGTCCAGATGCCATGGGACGTGTCCTCCTCCTTCCCACGGCTAATCCCTGGGGCCTCTCCTCACATAGCTTCCTGCCCTCTGTTGATCACTGACCACTTTTTCCCCTTCTGCTCTCCTCCTTTCCAGCTCTCATGACCCCAGCCTTTCCCATTTCTTGCCAGCATGGTTCCATCCTATTCCTCATCCTGGCTTTTCCTCCACAGGCACCCCAAGGTGCTGGTGCTCATGGGCCAAAGGAGGAATACAGCTGGGGTCTGCTGCAGCAAAGAGGTAGGACACATTTCATCACAGAGTGGAGGTGAATGAGGAATGCAGTGTGGTTGTGGCATGAAGCTACCTCAGTGACAGAGGGAGAGGACAAGCAATGCCCAGGGAGGATTTGCTGGCTTGTTTTGGGGCATGTTTTTATGGGCATCTAGCATGCTCTGTGACAAACCAAGGTCTGTGTCTGGCAATCCTTTCCAGGTGGGACAAGTCCCTGAAATTAGGTTGAGTGGCAATCTCATGTGAGGGTTTTGTGGGGGAAGTTTTGCTAGACTGGTTGGGACTGCAGTATTATTCTACAAAATCAGGAAACACAATTTGCCAGTACTACCCTCACCAGAGGCTTGCAATTTCCTACAATGCACAAATAAGATAACTCTGTATTTATGGAATATTAAGCACTTTGTACATGATGGCAGTCAATTTACACTGTGATAATGCTGAACAGTACAACACCTTTCAGAGCCATGCTTGCCTTTAGAGCTAACCTGTCTCTCCTGTGATCAGAAACAGCGCCTTGGATCTAAACATACTTGATCTGAGAAAGTCTAGGTCCATAATGTACCTTTGTGGCTCCTGCTCTGAGATTATCCAAGGCAGCATGTCCTTTGATTCTTACACTATATCCTTAGGTCCACAAGTCCTCTGTGAATGACAGTTTAAGGATTGCCACAGT